TAAACGTTTATTTATTTTTGAACAGAGAGAGACAGAGCATGAACGGGGAGGAAGGAAGAAAGGGAAGACACAGAATCGGAAGAAGGCTCCAGGTTCTAAAACCATCAACCCAAACCGGACGCGGGGCTCGAACTCGGCCGGTGAGATCGTGACCTGAGCGAGAATCGTCGCCGCCCAACCAGCCATCCAGGCGCCCCTCCAGTTTGTTTCTTAAATTACTTATTATTGTTTTTCAGCGCCTTCAGTAGGCTCCCCGTCCAACGTGGGGCTGAACTCCCACCCCAGATCGAGTCGGATCACTCTGCCGCCAACCAGGCCAGCAGTAGCGCGGACACTTCTACTTCGCCCTATAAAGCGTTAAGCTCGGTTGGCCTGCTGCGCAGTTATTCTTTGCCAGGAACCTCTTCTAAACCTTCTGCAACAATTTCAAAAATTCATTCGTACAACCACCTAAGAGCGTGCGTGCTGTTTGCAAAACCGGCCTGGAGCACTTGCTCTCCTGCTGCGAAGCTTCCGGGCCGCTCCGTGTGGTTAGTGGCGGCACCCTCCCACTAAATCCTCTCTGGGTCCCGGGGGGCAAAAGCAACTCTCCACCGTCGCAGCTCAGGTCGGCGTCCCGACTGTACGGTCTCCACTAACGTTCAGCTCCTCGACGGCGCCGTGGCGGATGCGCGCCGCCCGGACCCGGGTACGCCTGCTCGGGGCCGCAGAACCACCGCACCACCAGCGCCCGGCGCGGAAAAGCGACGAAGCCGCGTTTGCTGCAACGCTCCATCTACACGCGCTCAAACATGTTTCGCGGGACGATGTGAGCGCTCATGCAGCGCCCTTCGCGCGCGGCCATTCGTCCTGGCGGTTACGCAGACACGCACGCACGGAAGGACGCCCAGCGGACAGGAGCCGCTCTCACAAGCGTTATGTAACCCGCGCCGTCGCCGTCCCCGCGCCCCGTCCCCGGGCCGCCCGAGCATACCAGCGCCACGCACTGCACCGCTCTGGACACGTCGCACTTCCGGGGGGGCGGACCCGGGCTGTCGAATCGCTTCCGGAGGCGGACCGCCCCGGCAATCTGCGCCTGCGCAGGGCCAGCGAGCGTGAGCGAATGGGACGTCGCGCGGGCTCGGTATCACGTTGGCTGTGTCGCGTTTGGAGGGGCGTTGCGCTGGCGTGAGCACCCGGCCACTGCGTCCCGAACACCCGGGCCCAATCCGACTGACGCTTGCGCATCCCATCAGAGACCCGCCTCCTCCGTCAGGCTGCCCCCCTTCGGACGAACATCTGTTTTCCCCATCATGCAGACATCACCTCCGCCTTCCAGATGCCAGCCACCCCATCAATGCATCTCCCAATCGGAACACCTGCCTCCCCGACAGCCACGGAGCCGCTCCTGGAGCCCCTGCCTCCCCGTGGAGCCCTGGCCCCATTCGCTCCAACACCCCAGTGCCCCTGTCCAGACGCCGGTATGCTCACACGCCCGGGCACCGGCTGCCATCCAGACGCTCCCCGCGATTGGGGCACCGTACCCCATCGAGACCTGTTGCCCTGCTCACTTACCTGCCACCTCCCTCTTCAGACTTAATACCGCCCCATCGGACGTCTGCTTGCTCCCCATTGACCACGCCCCCCTCTGCCTTCCCCCCTTCCCGGGACTTTGCTCTGTCCATTTTCAAACTTCCACGGGTCGAATCTGCTCCCTCTTCAGACACTGGCTGCCCCCATCAGACACTGCCGCGGCGCCCGTCCCTCAGCCTTCAGTGGCTGTCTCCTGCCTCAGAGACCTGCCTCCCCATCAGTTGCCAGCTGCTCTATCTGGGCACTGGCTACAGTCAGACATCGCGCCTCTTGCTCCTCTTCAGACTTTGTTTTGCCCATCGGACACCATCAATACAGTCCAACTGACGTCAGCAGTCTGCATCAGAGATCCACCTCCCCCACCAGACACCAGCCTCCCCCGTCAGACACCCGCTGCCCCTGTCAGACACCTGCCGCCCCCAACGGCCATGGGCCGCTCCTGCCGGACAGACACTTGCCTCCCTCATCAGACACCAGCTAGCCGGGTCAGACGCCTGTCTCCCGTCAGACAGCTGCCTCCCCCGGCAGTTACCCACCGCCCCTCCCCCATGACCAGGTGCTGGTCCACTGGGTCCGAACACAGAGAGAAACTGCCCTGTTAGGGTGGTTTTGAAGAACCAGTTTATTCATACATTACACCAAATCATAGGCAATTTATACGCACCAAACTCCCGACTGGAAAAAACTGAACTGACAGGATGTTTTTCAGAAAATGTACCGTGCTCACAAATAAGACGAATTTGACCTGTTCCGTTACTAGAAATGAAGTAACAGCGCAACAAATCGAAAGGGGAACAGAAGCATCTTCCTCCTGTGCGGCTCTGAACAGACGCCCGCACTCAGACCACCTGTTCCCGCAAACACCGGCGGCCCTGAGGCTTGGGCCCTCGCAGCCCAGCGGTCCTGAGGCTGCCCCCCCCCCCGGAACCTTCCAGCAGCCCAGGTCCCCACCAGCCAGGGGTTGCACGGCAAACTCTAACGGGGGTGAGGTTCTGCGTGCCGCTGTGTTCGCGTGCGCTTCTGGACGCTGCGGGCGTCTCTCGGGTCCGAGACCTGCTGTGGCTCGGGGACAATTGGGAGGAAGAGTGAGCATCACGTTCCAAGCGTCCTTTGCATCGTCACTGGCCTTCTGTGGAAGGAGTCATAAAAAACAAAGCACCATCGACCACACTGCACGAACAACTCACTTTAGCCTAAGCTTTGCAAACATGTTACAGAAGAGAAGATGTAATAGGTTTAATGAAACAGAACTGCTGGCACCACCCCTTCCCCACAACAGCACATAAAAACGGACGAGACGTTAAATAAACATTCTGTTATTAATCATTAAATATATTAATACCCCAAATCATGTATAAATTAGGAAATAAATGTACAAACTATTTCACAAAGTGCTTTTTAAAATATATACACAACATTCAAGCAATTCTTAATGTAAGACATTTCAGATTGAAGTTCTGGGATAAGTGTAAGTGTCCTTTCCTTTCAAAAAGTATTAATACAGCACTTAAAAAACACACACACACATAAAAGGCATATGCGCAGATTGGCAAGGAAGAAAAATGAAACCACTTTCACAGTTATCTAAAATGTGTAACGTTTTCAGTGGGAAATTTTAGTTCCCGATGGAGTTTGCAAATTAGTTCTATGAAAACTGTCAGGGAAGAACAGGACAAAATCGAGGGAGACACCTCCCTAAATGAAATTACTAATGTCTGTGTCGTTTAGCAACTAAGAACTCTCTTTCAGTAATTTAATAGAGTACGTATCTTTAAGCCCTTACCAGCGTTAAGAGTTTTTAAAACCCATATGCCTATAAAATAGACACTCCTATCCCAATGTACGTGTGATTCTGTCCCCACAGAAGAGGGGCAATATGCTAGAACAGGACTGGTACTCATCTGGGGCAATCTTTAATCTGCACCTCAGTTCTTTCTTCATCTGTAAAATGGGAGCAGTAATTGCCTCCGTATTTCCCAGTGTGGACTGTCACGATTCATTCAAGCAACAAAACAAAAGAAAACAAAACAAAAACAGCATAAAATGCCTTGTAAACTGTAAGCCATTCAACACCTCTGGATGAAGGACTATTGTAGACTTCTAAAACGCGAAACTTATCAATTTAAAAACACCATCTTCAGTAGACCTGGTATGTAAAGAATTGGATATTTTCTTGAATTTTCTTGGTTGTTCTTGGAAGTATGTCAGCATTTATCCAAATATGTTTTTAAAGTACTCACATGGATACTATTATCCAGGTAAAAGCTGACAGAATGTTTGTATTACTAATTAGTGAAACAGAGGTTTCCTTTTACTATGCTTTTCCAAGTAAGCTGTGTATAATGCTTGAGAACTTAAATGGGATTTGATGTTCTAGGAATGTAAAATTTACTCAAATTTCCCTACATAAATCCTTTTCCTTGGGAAGAACACAGTCAAATTTGTGGGGTTCTTTTTGAAAATAAGGTGTGAGTTTCAGATATCTCTAAAAGAAAAGGAACACTTGCTTAGAGACCTGGATAAGCAGGTCCTGGAAGAAAAGAATATAAAAGAAAATACTTGCCAACCGTTTGGAAATTTTGGTATAAATATTTTAAATTCTCAATTCGGAATAGGGCAATATCAAATATCCAAATCCCAGAACTGACCGTCAGATAAATAAGGGCCAAGGCCAGTCATTTTAAAGAACTACCCCCTCTCCTTCCCTGGGTCAGGCTAATCGTACGTTTATCTGGAATACACTCGTTGATCCCTCTTTACTCTTTATACAAAAACATAAAACATTTTGGATAAACACAATTGGCGAGAGACACAGGGAGCGCACGAGCCTGGAAAGGGCTATTCGCAGCCTCCCCAGACGAAGCATGTTTATACTTTCCGCTGTGTACCAGAAACTGACCCAAAACACAGAAGATGCCCTCCCCTGCCATCGAGGCACAGGGAGAGGCTGCCACCCAGGGGCTGTGCGCGCGTGTCCGGCTGTGGTGCGGCCAGTGAAAGACAAGTTTACAACCCACATTACGACAACTGCGTGAGGAGGAGCAGACCCGAGGCCTGCTTACGTGAACACACGGACTATGGCATCTGGTAGATGTGTCCCATCGCTGGGCACAGAATACTCTGGTGACAACAGGACCCCTAAAGCTAGCTAGAAACATCAAGGGGGAGGGGGACAAAAGAGACAACCTCCCCGTCGTATGGACGTACAATACTATACACAGCACCGAATATGTCACACCATCAAAGCGCCGTCTCTCGCCAGCGGTGCACCCTTGGCATCGTACCCAGATGAAATGTGCACGCTTCACATGCAGACGCTGCGTGGGGCAGAGGGGCAGTCAAGAGGTCAGAGTTCACCAGAACTGCCACCGGCCCAACCATCCCCAGGGGACATGCCACCACAAGGCTCTACCAAGAACACTTGTCCCTTACTGCTGGTAATTTCCATACTGGCCCTGTAAGAGACCGAGACACGTGTTACACTTCCGTAGTTGAGACAGACCTCCCACCCCGCGCCCCGCAGCCCACACCCAGGACTAGGGACGGAAGCAGGGATGGGAAGCAGGCAAGCAAACAGCTCTCTGCCTAGATCTCGGGCGGGCAACACGATCGCTGGCTTTCTGAAGGCCGTCCATCCAAGCCTGCGGCCAATGATTTAGATCAGAGGGTCAGCGAGGCTCACCCTTACCAGCTGCCCCCCAGTAAGACCCCCCCAAGGGGCCAAGCTCCCACAGGTGACTGGTCAGCAGCAGGGCTGGCTACAAACTTGGGCTGGGACCCAGACGCAGAGCCACTCGGCCAGCCGTGTCTGACCGAGTGAGGGTATGCTATGCGTACAGTAATTCGCAAAAGCCTTAGCAGACCAGAGAAATCACATTCTGGAAGAGACCCTGGCCGCCAATTCCTTCCTCTCCTTATTCCTCACGACCATAAGAGAAACCTTTGTCACGTTTCCACAGACACGACGGATCTGCGCATCTGGAGGCATCCCCAAATCTTGCCTGCTCATAGCCATAAGGCCGCTGCTGCTGGGCGGACGGGCCCGTCTGAGATGCCCTGTAGCTTCCGTACTGCTGGCCTTGTCCTTGTTGGTACCCGGAGTACTGCGAGGCGGCTCCCTGGGCAGGCCCTGTGAGGATACACACCCGAGCCATGAGAACGACCCAACGCCCTCCCCAGCCCTCCGGAAGTGTCTGCCACACCGCTGGATCCAGCGGTGGAAGCTCAGCTGAGTGCTCGAGCAAGGCTGCCGTCGGCTCCTGCGCGGCCCCCCCGGCCGGGGCTAGCGGGCCGCTCCCCGGCGCACCTGCACCGGCTTCCCGGCAGCAGCGTGTCTGCCAGGGTGGTCGCCACAAACCCACGAGTTAAGCACCACAGCAGCTGTTGAAGACTCGCGTGCGAGAGGAAGGAGGTAGGCGTTCCCGTGGAAACTAAGGCAAAAGCTTTGGAAAGAACCGATAAAGGCCAAGGGGGCACCTGGGTGGCTCAGTCCGTTAAGCGCCAACTTCGGCTCGGGTCATGATCTCTCAGTTCGTGAGTTTGAACCCTGAGTCAGGCTCTGTGCTTTCAGCAGGGAGCCCGCTTTGGATCTTCGGTCTCTGCCCCTCTCCCCACTCGCATGTGCTCTCTCTCTCAAAGATAAACCCTTAACAAAAAAATAGATTTTAAGGCCAAATAATTTTTCAAAAAATTGTTATTTAGTCAGTCGTGGCTATAAAAGGTTGAACAAAAATCTTCAACTGGGGCTTACCTTCCTCACCGTGTGCCACGGTCACCTGTGAGCTCAGGAAGACACCTCACGCAAGGGCCCCGCCTGGCAGGTGATCCTGAGGTGCAGCGAAGGCCGAGTCCCGCGGCCTGGACGGGTTCCCTCAGGGAGGCACACGGTTTATGGAGGGGACGGGGCCCAGCTCTGGCTGGATGAGCGAGTGGGGGCTCCTGACTACAGTAAACGAAGACATTTCGGTACAGACGGAGGTTTTATAAAGACTCGCAGACTCACTCTTAAGGAGATAATCACCCACTCATTCAGGTGGCGAGGCCGGTTTTCACTGTATTTTATCTCATTGTATGTATTTATTTATTTAAATGTTTATTTTTGAGAGAGACAGAGCGTGAGCAGGGGAGGGCCAGAGAGACAAGGAGACACAGGATCTGAAGCAGGCTCCAGGCTCCGAGCTGTCAGCACAGAGCCTGACATGGGGCTCGAACTCACGAACTGCGAGATCATGACCTAAGCCTAAGTCGGACGCCCAACCAACGCAGCCACCC